CTGTTCACATGCTGTGAGATCTCCTGTAGTGATTTCTTAATATATTTCATACTATTTTTGAGAATTATCCAAGGGTAGTGTAAAAGATATTATAATTGCCCGTGATTCTATGACAGGTCTTTAAAATCTGTTATTGTCCCACTGAAAGAGAGGTAAAATGTTCTAAAAATATTACCTTAATAAATTGCTTGCAAGGTTGTTGTGTATTTGCTTCAACATATGAAATAATTTTCTTTCAAGGATTTATTCAGCTTTGTAACTTTTCCCTCTACATTTTTTTCCCCAAGAAAATGTCGTTTACTAAAATAGAAGCTGATCAGGCTCATGTCAAACTCAGTAACAGAACTGCCTTTGAATTTAATAGGAGTGAGATCAGTTGCAGATTGAACCACAGTTAGGACAATTATAGAATCGATTATACAGAAAAGGGAGATTAAAATTAACAGCTAGACAATTAAGAAGGAAATAAACTAAAGAATACATGCAAAATGAAGAAAGGCCAGTCTAAAGTACAAAAAAAGGCTATGATTTCCAAAGACAAAGAAATGGATTAGGTGTCCAAATCCATTTTGCAGTACAGCATGAATTGAATGTCTATTGTATTTTTTTTCTAACCAACTTTAAACAATTTGAGGAAAATAATTAGGCAAGTATTAAGTCCAAAAGAAGGGATGGGAGAACCAAAGAACTTATAGCAATGTCTGAAGAGTATGAAGGGTAGGAATAAAGAGTATAATCCAAACCGTTCTATAATTCTATGATTCTATTATCACTTGCTAACTGAATACATTTTATAAAAAATAATATGTATTAACAACTACTTCATGCATCTACTTGAAAGAGATCTATAACAAAGAAGAGGTGACTGTGCTTCTCCCATGGGTCAGAGAATCACAGAATGATGGGGTTAGGAGGGACCTCTGGTTCTATCTGGTCCAATCCCCTGCTCAGACATGGTCATCTAGAACAGAGCATCCATCATCTTTTGAAGATCTCCAAGGAAGAGACTCCACCACTTCCCTGGGCAATCTGTGCCAGTGCTCTGTCACTTGCAAAGTACAGAAATGCTTCTTGATGTTCAGAGAGAAACCCTCGTGTTCAAATTTTGCCCACTGCCTTTCAGTGTAGTAGTCTTTCAGCCCACATTAGGTTGAACTTGCAAAGACATTAGTAGTCTTAAAAGTAAGCATGAAATCCTCAGTAGAATGTATTACAGAAGTCTAAATATTATTATCATGTTTAATATTCTATTTTAAGTAGCTCTATTTCATACATCTGCTTCAACTCTATTCATAGGATATGCCACTGGCATTGCTAATTTTGAGTCTCTCTCTTCCATTAATGAATGCTTTAAATTATTTTCCACTTGCTTGCATTTTTCCAGTTGGCATCACTCTTGTTTCACACCCTTACTTCAAGCTTCTCTTTTTCTATGACACCATGGTAATTCTGAGATTAAAACAAAGACAGATCATCCTCCTTTTCTCTCCCTACCTCATGTCTAAAGCAATTTATAGTTCAGATACGTACAAATTTAAATAACGTATTGCTTTTCTTCTTGTCTGTACAACCAATTATATTTCTATTAAGTAATACATGATGTAACTGCCACATACTGCACTGACCACTTTCTTGAAATATTTTATTTTAAATAGTTTTAATTCCATGCAATTGAAATCTTAAATTTGACATCTGATCTGCAATTCAGACATGGAACTAAATAATACTATGTTTGGTATTATAAACTCCTATTATAAGTACACAAATTACTATGTATTTTGATATACCCGATTACTTTTCCATAGAAAATGGAACATAGTATCAATATAAAAATGTGTTATTTTGAAAGGAATTACCCACACAAGTACATAGTCCACAATACAGAATTAAAAGACTTATAACAGCCCTATTCATCAAATTATTTGACCACATGATTAAAGTGTTTTGCTGACTCTCAAAACATTTAATACTTGGTTCTGGTTTATAGAACTCCTCCTTCAAAAGTGGTACAATTTATGGTACAATTTACTAAAGAAATCCTTTCAAATTTTCAGGTGTTACTGGTATAATCTTATATTGTGCTTCAGTGTCCTTGGAATAATATAGAATAAAACATAGATTCAGTTATATTTAAGGTGCTTCTATTAGAGTTATCAGAAAGTTATCAAAAATGACACTAATATAGGATGATCTCTATGTTTACTATATCTATATACTATCTCTAAGAAAACACTTATCATATACATACAGCTACTCTGCAGAGACCTAATAATTTAATGATTTTTGAAATACGGAGGAAGAATAAGGTGATTACTTAGCTTAGAGAGAATAGCGTTAATGATAGTGTTTTAGATTTGCATGTACTTACAATGGCTGAATCAAAATTTTGATTTCCCTACAGAAGAAACAAAAATCTGCCTCTTTCAACGTGGTTCTTCTTTGCGCCTAAGTTGTTCCATTTGTACCCACATATTTTTGGCTCAACAGCTTTTTATGATCATTTTCCGTTCTAGTTGGTTCTTTTAAAGACTAAATAACAGTTTTTCATAAAATGTGAATTTTATATCGATCTCTAATATGGTTAGAATGTGTATTAAAAATCATGCCTTGCCAGGGAAGTGAATGATCAAGAGATATTTGTACTGGTCTAATCCTATAAAAGTACCTCAAAGTACTCTTTATGAAACCAGTAAGCTTGCTGCCCATATGGAGAGATGGAGGTTCATTACATGTTGCCAAGTGAACGCTCTGTACTCAGTACTCAGTGGGAGTTTTTTGGGAGAAAGGAGAGACAGAAGAGTTACAGAACAGAAAAGTGAGTTTGTCTACCATATTTATGAATTCACCAGCATTAATTCAGTGTTTCCTAGATACTGGGAAAGCATTTTGCCATGTTGAATGGAGGCCATGGAAAGATTGCTTGTAGAAAGAAAATTGTTCATTGAAAGCTATCAATTACCAGCTATTCCACTGAAAAAAAGATTATAACAGGAGGAGAAAAATTTTGAAATAACTGTTTTAATGAGCAGGAGGTTGGAAAAGTATCCTGATAACTTGATTCTAGAGGTTTTTTTGCATCTGTGATTCTTATACTAATCACTGACAGAGCTGGGATTCATAAGATAAATCAAAATCCACGTACACGAAAGCATAATCAGGAATGATTCCATAATGAACTGAAAAACAGGAAAGCCAAGACTGAGGTGAAATCCCATATTTTCAGCTCTGTTTACATAAGATATCCATTTAAGGTATATGATAATATTTCCTAATCAAAATTTGGCTTTGAGAATGCAGTATTCTGCTCTATCTCCTTTCTTGTGGATCCATTAGGTAAAGCTGATCCAAAGTTATTTAAGAGTCTGTACAGATCTCCTCTAGAAGAGACTTTGGTTCTGTTAATCATCTTCTACAATAAATAAAAATGTCTTTAATTAAGATAAGGTGACATATTCAAATTTACATTCATTATTTTTAAAATGAAGATAAGTGAGACAGAACAAAGCAACCCTCATTTAAATTTTGTTGCTTTTAGAGTGTGAGAGTACTGGTTACACTTTGAGAAGAAAATCAGAGATAAAATCAGCTAGCTGAAACATTCTGGTTCATAGGATTTTGGAAATGTTTGCTCATTTTTCTGTGATTAGACTAAGCTGTTTCACATTTAAAGTAGGGTTTTAAATTTAGTTTTACATAGCTAATTCTGGATGGAAACCTGTTCCCTGGAACAGCTCTGTTCCGATCGGTACCTCTGATTCCTACTTTCCTTCCTTCTGCTCTGTAAAGCTTGGCTTCTTCAAGAGGAGGACAGTGAACAGCCTACTCATGCAATGGTCTACAGCCTAGCAATGAGGCCTTAAAGTCTGAATGTAAGCGCTACACAGCTAAATAGACAACTACAATCTGAACTCCTTGATACTAGATTTTTCTGCAAAGGAAGATGAAAAAAGAATGGGAATTGATATCAATAACTGGCTTCTAAACGAACACTTCTGATCCTTTAGAAGATGGTTCACACACACACACACACACACAAAAAAAAAGATTTCAGTGGAAATGCTGAGTCACGGCGTAGAACAGTGAGTGAGCACCTAGTGGGAAGGCAGGACCAACCCAGGGGAGCTCATCTGCATGCAATGCACCTGAATGACTGGAAGGGGGTGCAGGCAGGATCCACCCTTTCCCAGACCTCATTTAAAGGTTTGCAGTGGAGGTGTGGGATCCTTTTGGAGATCCCTGCCTACGTAAGGCCATCCAAAGGTAAGCAGCTTTTTTTCCTTTATTTTTGTCTCCATAGCTGCTGCATTTGTGTTTGTCCCCATTTGCTGCAGCCAAAGACTTTGTTGCCTGCTATTACCGCTGTACTTCCCATCACATTACAGCATTACAAAGATAATCCCTGGATAACAAATGAGTGCTGGTACCTTCCACTTTGTATTCGTCCCTATAGATACTGAGCTTGGGAGAGATGAACAGGATTTTCCTTTCAAAGACTTTGAGGAAACTTTTTCTATTCTGTATACAGAGAATTTGTGCTCTAGTTGCAGGACTGTTAGGCTTGTGTGAATTTCAAGTCTAGCTTGGAAATAGCAGTAGAAGCCTTTGAAAATTCAGAAAAGTACTGAGTAGAAATGTTTCAAGCAGCTGTCATGAAGTATGAATATGGAATCTATAAGGAAAACATAGTAGCTTTGAAGATTTTTATTCTAATTTCATAGGCACAGCATTTAATGCAAAAACTACGCATGTAATTTCAAAACAAGAAGATACATTGACATTTTCAGTCTGAGGTAAGTTCCTAATGCATATGAAACTTTCACAAATAATAATACAGCTTTATGAATGTGTCAGAATTTGGCCTCAGAAAATATTCCTGGAAAGAACTAAGAGAATCAGTTATTAAAAGGAATAAAGCATCCAAATACTGACCTCTTCCACTTACAAATCTAGTAAAGCTTTCTGCCAGACAATCTTAAATTCAAATACATGGAATTACTTACTGTGCAGAGTGTTTCAAATGTCTTTTCAGAGACAAAGGATCCATCAAGACCAAAAAGAAAAATAGATGCATAAGAAAGCATTCCTCCAAGGATAATAAGGTTGTTCATGTAGGGACTGGACATCTTTATTAATCTATGGACAAAAGATGATAGTGCATTAAAGAGATGATTCTTTTAGAGCAATAAAGAAGAACTCTTTGTAACCTTCTTATAAACCTTCCTGTAGAACTATAAGCATGCACATTTGCTTTTTTATAAACTCTACCACTGTTTCAGGTTTTTGAATATTTAGTGAAAAGTGTATCCTCTTTTACCAATGGGTTAATTAGACAGAGTAATGTTAACAGCACACAGTCAAACATAACTTCTAAAAAATCAGAGTTTATGAACCTATAAAAAAGTTGTTCTAGCAGGCATTTGTTTCAGTATGTGTGTATATAACAGTAATTCTAACTAAATAATTCTAAATTATAACTCTTCTGCAGTTTAGATATTTTCCTTAACAAATATTAATGGCAAACTCCACAAACTTGGCGTTCAAATATAGAATAAGTTGAGACTGAAGTAACATGAATGCCTTACTTCTGATTTCTGTTTTTGATGTTAAAGAACAGGAAAGCACTGGCCATTATCATTCCCAGGATTGTGAGGGCTGAAAGGATGCTGTAGAGTGGTAGAGAGATCTTCCGTAGCTCCTCCTGTATAATTGTTTTGTCCTTTGGAGGTTCAAGTCCTAGAATTACAAGAAGGAAAAAAAGGCTAGAGTTCAATCAAACATAGAATTTCTGTTAGAAAATATCCCTCTCCTCAATACGCTATGTAGATATAGCATATTTAGCAAATGTAAACCACATTCCTAACTGATGAAAATACTGACTTTGATAGACATGTTAGTCAGGTTGATTGACAAGAAGGTTGGTATTTCTGGAGCAGATTAACATGATCTTTGGGAAAAAAAAACAAAACCCGAACAAACAACAAAACTCAAATGCGGAACCTTGTAAAATATATGCCTATTTTCATTTTAAAATGTAAATAACACTGAACTAACTGTAAAGATTGCTAGGAGGTTATGCTTTTCTGAAGTAAGTGACAGAAATGTGAGTGGAAAACAAAGTACATTTTTTCTCAGCATACTTTCATTACAAACGGGGCAAATTCGAATGGCCATTCCAGAAACCCACCATACCTGCAATCAGTGCAGAGAAATCTATAACAGACATAGGGCTGTGGGAAGCTGAAGCACAGGAGCAGGCAATTCCTAAATGTCAGAAGTCAAGCAGGCAGGGTGAGAAGTTCAATTTGGTTGAGCAGGGATCTTCTAGAACTATGTGAAAAAAGAAAGTGTATGGCTACTGGAAGTGAGGTTGGGTGACATGGGAAGACTACAGAGATGCTCTTTGCCACTTCAGGGAGAACATTGATGTGGCCAGTACTTTGCGAGACAGCAATAAGGGCATTTTTACATATGTTAACAGTAAAAGGAGGACCAGAGACAATATTGGTCCATTACTTGACGAGAATGGTCACCTCCAAAATAGGGATGGTCCTAGATATGTATATGGAATGGGTGACAAGAGGCTGGAGAGCAGCCCCATGGATAGGGGGCTTCTGGTTGATGGCAAGTTGATCCTGAGTCAATAGTGTGCTCTGGTAGCCAAGAGTCAACCATACTCTGAAGTGCCAGAACTGCCAGCTCTGTGAAAGAAAGGATTCCAACTTTGCTTTGCACTGTGCAGCCTCACCTTGAGCACCAGGTGCAGATTTGAGTACCACAATACAAGAAGAACATAAAACTATTAGAGAACGTCAAAAGGAGGGCAACAAAGATGATGATGGGTTTGGAGGGGAAAACATATGAGAAGCAGCTGACATCCCTGGGTTGGTTCAGTCCAGAGCAGAGGAAGCTGAGAGGAGGACTCATGGCAGCTGCAGCTCCTCACAGGGAGCAGAGGGACAGCACTGACACGTGGTGGCTGGTGAGGAGTGATCTTCCCCAGGAGTCTGCCTCGGGACTGGTGCTCTTTAACGTCTTTATCAGTGATGTACATGTTGATATTGAGTGCACTCTTTGCACATTTGCAGACAGCACTAAGCTGAGTGGTGCAGCTGATAGGACAAAAAGAAGGGATGCCATCCATAGAGACCTGGGCCTGCTTTTTAAGCTTGTCCATGTGAACCTAATGAAGTTCAATGATGCAAAGTACAAGGAAGGTGTTGCACTTGGGTTGGGGCAATTCCAGATATGTGGAATAACTCATTGAGAGCAGCCCTTTGAAGAAGGACTTGTAGGTTCTGGTGGATGAAAAGCTGGATGTGAGCCAGCAGTATAAGGCTTGCAGCCTGTAAGGCCAACAGTACTCTGGACCATTTCAAAAGAGTAGTGAACAGCAGGACAAGGAAGGTGATTGTCATCTTCTCTGCCTTCATGCATCTCCACCTGGAGTCAACACAAGAAATATGTGGAGCCTTTGGAGTGGGTCCAGTGGAGGGTCACGAAGATGATCAGAGGACTGGCACACCTCTCTTACAAAGAAAGGATGAGAAAGATGGGTTTGTTCAGCCTAGAGAGGAGAAGACCTCATTGTTTCCCTCTAGTACTTAAAGGGAGCTTATAATCAGAAGGGAGGCCTAATAGTGGTAGGACATAGTGGAAGGATTTTAAACTAATAGAGGGTAAATTTAGATTAGAAGTTCAGAGGCAATTTTTCACTCAAAGGGCAGTGAGGTTCTGGCACAGGATGCTCAGAGAAGCTGTGAGTTCCCCATCCCTAGAAGTGCTGAAGGACAGGTTGAACGGGGCCCTGGACACCCTGATCTGGTGGGTGTCAGCTCTGCCCACAGCAGGGTTTTGGAATTAGGTGACATTTAAGGTCCCTTCAAACCTAAGCCATTCTGTTTAAGGAATCCTTGTGGGTTCAATCCAAATCAGGATATTCTATGATTTTGTGATTCCAAGCCATATGCCTGATTGAGAGTCAGCTACTGCTAATGAAAGTCATCTTCTGCTGAGAGTGTAGAGGAAGTCCACATGTTAATAGAAGCAGACTGGGGACTGGAAAGAAGATGACTAGGAGATATGGCAACACAAGCCACATCCTTTTTAAGGGCCTTGGGAGTACTACTGGGCTGAGCACTCTCTTTAGCCCTATTTCTTAAATACCAACTTAAATAAAGCTAGCATTAGTATTTTGAAACTATATTTTCTAACTGTCTAGTAAACCCCTCCCAAAAAAAACCAGTGACTTCCTTCTCATTTGCAAGTAAAGTAGATGAGTAACTTCTGGGAGGAGAGGAACTGGGAGAGTGGGAGATGAGGAAGAAATTAAAACATTATTGGTTGGTAGAGATGAAATGGATGACGCATCTGTAGCTTGTTGAAATAATAAAAGATATACACATATCAGTTTCCCATTATTTGAATGGAAAGTATCAATACAGTAAAACTAGCAATTTTTTTTGTTAGATTTCTCCTGCTTTTAAGAACAGCTTATTTCCTTTTCTCTGTATACAGTTTCATAGGGTTTTTAATACCAAACAGCTCCAACAGATCTCTAGACAGCAAGCTATGTCCATGTCACTCTTGTACTTCTTCCGAGTTTCCCATCTTACCTTGGAACCTGATGCTGTTGTTGATTATTTCCAGAGTGTCAGCTACAGCATTGTACTCTCCCACCTTCACTTCCTTTCTTTCTGCAGAGAAACAAACAAGAGCGATTGTTTATGGCAGCTCACATGTTCTCAATTATTTAACTGATTTTGCCTTCTTTTTGACAATGTGTCAAAACGAAGAGAAATATGCTTGAAGTGCATGAATTATTAAAGCAGAATGCCAGTCAGCTAACATCATTAAAAGAAATATTTCTGATTCATTTTGAAGAAATGCAACGGATTTTTAAGAACTTATTTACATAATCAGGAAATTGTTGTTACTGGGCATAGACATCTTCAGCTATAAGATCACATGCTTACTTACTGGCTCATGCTGAGTGGGACACTTAGTTGAGAGATCAGATACAGCGAAATCACATGTTCCGCTCTCATTTGAACAGCCACCTTATCTTGCTTTAGTGAGGCATTTCCCAGGGAAGTTACAGGCTCCAGCCTGTATGGAGTAGCCTGGCTAGTTAATAGGTAACTGGGAATCTAATCTCTTACTCTGACTGGGAATTAGCAACTCATTAGTACAATGACTGAAAAACATACTGCATTATTTAATCAAACTCAAATTGCAATTGAGCTAAAATGTTTACTGTTACTTTCATGTGCATTTTATGATTAATTATCATATATTTGATTTTCTTGTACCTAGTGTAGATATAGCAACTTAATATGTTCAGATACTGCCTTAGCTACTGTTGCAGGTAAACATTAGTCCCAGCCTTTTGATGACATCTGGCACCAATTAATTTCTGCTATTTTTGTCAGTTTTTTTAGTACTATAGAGAAGGACAGAAACTTACTAAATTGTCAATTTTACACAGAAAACATTGAAATTTTGGTGTGAAACAAAAAAAAAAAAAAAAAAAAAAAAAAAAAAAAAAGCAAACAACAGGCACATTGGTTACAGTGTTCTTTGAGCTGGCTCAGTGCAGCCAAAAATTTTCCTTTGGGCCTCTATCTCTGGGCGTGCACAGCCCTATTTGCATGTAAATTTTGAGCTATGACCCTATTTGTGACACTGATTCTGGGAGCTGATGATCATGAACTGGGTGCCCAATTTGAAAAGACTGTATTTTACCCAACAGATCCATATTAACCTTTCCTCCTTTCTCACTCAAAGCAATTCTGCACTCTTCATCTCTGCTGAATGGAGCAGCTAGCTCCATTTCAGCAAAATCTGCTGGCTGATTAATGTTAGTCTGAAAGCTCACAGGAAGCAAAAGTTTTCCTTATATAAACTGTATTACCTATTGTTAAAATTGTTTATGCACAATTGTACACTGGGTTGCAAATTCAGCAGAGAAACACAGGCATTTGCTATACTCCCATAAATTAGAGATTGCAGTTCTGGAAACTGATACACCTTTCACATGAGCATTGGACATTCTTAGAGAGGTCCTAAGACTAGTTTGACATAAAAGCGCAATCTCCTGGTTTTCAGCAGCAGTTTCCAAAGGCCTGCCCATAAAAACAACTTATTTTGCATGTAGAATTATGTAGACAGTTAAGAACAGTTGGTGCTTCCTGACACAGCCTGAAAATTCTTTGGGAGACACACATATATAAATCTTTGTTAGTCTCAAAGAATGTTACCTGCACAGCTGTCATCTGAATACAAAAATGGTTACAGCTAAAACCTGAACAAATTCACTATTGTCTTTATTAGTAGCCTTTTGTCTTTATTAAAGTTACAATCTATGTGTCTAAAACTTAAAAAAAAAAAACCAAAATAAAAAGTTAGAAATTAGAAAGACAAACCTCAGACTGTGTACCTATATCAATTTGCACATTTGATGCCAGACAGTCCACATCATCTACTTACACCAGATGAAGAGGACATGCACCTTAGTGCCAATCTAGCCACAACCTTACAGCAACAGACTAATGAAGAGTGAGAAGAGTAATTGTTCCACATCTATTTTTATATGAGGCAGTTACTGGGATTTGTTTATATGAAGGATGCACGTAATAAGTAGGGAAAAATACACGAATGACAGCCTAAACATATGCTCACTGATTAAGGTACTGAAAGGGAGAATTCTGTGATATGACCTACAATGCCACTGCTTTTCAACGTTTATAAATTCTTACACAGCTTCCTTCACAAGTAAAAACAACACGGAGGATATGCCTATGATGGTAAGTGTAATCTAGTATAACAACTTAAAGTAGGCCGAAACTTGTTAGATTAGTTTGCAGGAGCTAGCCCTAATAAGAATGGAGATCAGTAGAGATATCTGGAGAAGTGAATTTCCATTGTGTATAAAGCCGGAGATGAAGAGTCTTTGGGATTTATATAACCAAGAGTGTAAAAAGTACAGAGTGCTTAGTACTGAGGAAACACATTAACAGTGATGGAATAAGGGAAAAGGACCGTTCATATAGTGTACATTGAGGTTTACTGAGGTCAAGAGATGCCATGAAGATTCTTGATATCTTAAGTATTTGCATTCAGTGGAAGGTAGTCTATAAGGAAAATAAACTCCTGTTTTCATTGGCAGGAAAGATGAAGTCGTCATATTGTGATATGTTTACAGGAGTGCTGGTGTAGAAAACACATCTACAGCTGCTGAGTTTTCAGTCCCCAAACACCAAAAACTGTCCAGTGAGAAAGTCTCTTCCAAATCTTAAAGGAAGTAGAGAGTCAGCAGTATGTCTTGCAGCTCTTTTGTGTAGGCCAATACAGATAAGGATGGAACTGCAGGCTCCGCTTCTCTCTATGCCATTCCATCAGGTTTCCTTTAGAAATTCTGAATGATTCAAGTCAGTATGCTGATCTTATGCTTAAGCTCTTCTGTATCAAAATTTATGTGTTCAACAACAAGACAAGGAGAAGTGGAACTCCTTCAAATAAATACACCAAGTGCTTTTACACAATATCCAGAATACAACGTGTACTTATTCTTCAGTATTTACATTATTTTAAACTTGTTTCTCTTCCATACTCAAAATAAAGAGACCATATTGAATCTCTCCTGCTCAGAATAAAATAGGAAACAAAAAATGAGAGAGAATATATTTTCTGAGATGTTTGTCAATGCTGCAATAGCAAATTCATTTTAGAATTTGAATCTGCAGCTGTTCTTTCACACAAGAACAGAAGAAAACATTAGCAACTAACCAACTCAGAGAAAACTTGCCCAGAAATATGTCACTGCAAACTACGTCTAGAAGAATTATTAGCAACTAATCCTTGCTGTTAAATAATTGTCACAGAATAGATTACATTTATTACCAACGTGAAAGCCTTTTGCCAACTAAGAATTGAACTACTCTTAAGAGTCAATTAGAATTCTTTCTTTGACATGTGTTATTACGGAATTTTATAGCCCACTTTAGGCAACTGTGGAAAAATTGACACACTACCACTTAATTAACTGGGCCACATTTCATAAAGGTAATACAACTGATATTTAATTACATAACAGATCATTAAACGTTCTTGTCTAATGAAAGCAAAAATATTCCTGTAATGGACATCAAGTGAACAAACTTATAAAAATGCACAAGAGTACTGTGATTGCCAATATGACTGATAACCACTTACATGGAGAATTTCTAGATGAGTCTATGTTTAATTGCAGTTCTTTCTTCTATATGTCATAATTTCCATTTCTGTTACACTTTCTTATGCATTTATTCACATGTTATGAAAATAGCTTTTAGAGAGAGGTATTTAAGGAGACAGAAAACATGAGGAATCTTTCTTAATTTCTTGCAATGCAAAAGAGGTGGGACAGATGTGCTTTCTTTGCTTTCTTCCATGGAGACAACAGTGGCTAACTCCTAACAATGTAGCGCTTGTATGTATCTATGCACCTTTCAGTATGGTGCTTATACTGAAATGGTACATATAACTCTTGTTGTGATGTAGTTAAATCAATATAAAAATGTTCACATCTATATAATCACCAGTATAATTTATGCCTACAATAATCACAGAATCACAGAATGGCCCGGGTTGGAAGGAACCTCAATGATCATGAATCTCCAAACCCCCTGCCAGAGGCAGGGCCACCAACCTCTCCATTTCCTCATTTAATACTAGACCAGGCTGCCCAGGGCCCCAGTCCAACCTCGCCTTGAACATCTCCAGGGATGGGGCATCCACAACCTCATTCACAGCCTGTTCCTGCACTTCTCAACTCTCATAAGAACTTCCCCCTGACATCTAACCTAAATCTTCCCTCTGTCAACTTAAAACCATTTCCCTTTGTCCTGTTGTTATTTGCCCTTTCAAAGAGTTGATTCTCCTCCTGTTTATCAGCTCCATTTACGTACTGAAAGGCTGCAATTGGGTCACCCCACATCCTTCTCTTCTCCAGGCTGAACATGCCCAGCTCCCTCAGCCTGTACCCAGCTCCCTCAGCCTGGGCACTCTGAAATAAAGCAGTTTCCTAGGGGGTTACAGAAGGATGTACATTGCTACTTGCATGATTTAATGAATTTTTGTCTAGTTGATCATGTAAAAAATGTGTATAGTCCAGCAGGATAAAGATGGACTTACAGGTCTGCCCTAGCATTACTGTTGGCTCCCAAACCTCGTCACTCTAAAAGGTAATTAAGGACCTCAAAGTCTAATTGACATTATTTGTACTTTCTTCCATTACTGCTGCATTTTATGAAGTGCATTTGCAGTTTGCAAATGCAAGTGTGTAAGTGATTAGCATTCACTTACCAACAACTAAAAGTTTTTAAAGTAAACTTAATAAATCAAATATCAAAACCTTTCCAGGTGGGAGTCACTGAGGTTTCTCCTTTAGAGGTCACTTAGGTTTTTCTCAACTTCAACAAAGCAATAAAGAAGTATTACCCGAAAGAATGCCTCTGTGTCGCTACTTTAAAAAGCTGTTTCCAAATTTCCCTCATTTGACCTTTTTGTCTAGTTTGTTTGTTTGTTTGTTTGTTTTTCTGAATTCTTGGGTTCCAGTTTATACATCATACAGAATGCTGTTAGAAAAACAGTATATATGCTATATGATAATTACTCTTCATTGCCATTTCTCAAGTCCTATCTTGCATTCATCTAT